TATGTAGTCTTTTATTTATGTGAGTATGGGTTATGGCTATTAATTTTATTTTTGGGTTATAATCCAATACTATGTCGCTTATTTTGTTACTCAGATTGTTCTTACTTAGGGTATTGGGAGCTCTTCCAGGTTGGGTCCTGTATTCTTTTTTTTTCTTGAGACGGAGTCTCACTTTGTCACCCAGGCTGGAGTGCAGTAGTGCATTCTCAGCTCACTGCAACCTCCGTCTCCTGGGTTCAAGTGATTCTCCTGCCTCAGGCCTCCCCCAGTAGCTAGGATTACAGGCAGGCGCCACCATGCTCAGCTAATTTTTTTGAATTTTTAGCAGAGATGGGCTCTCACCGTGTTGGCCAGGCTGGTCTTGAACTCCTGACCTCAAGTGATCTGCCCGCCTTAGCCTCCCAAAGTGCTAAAATTACAGGCATGAGCCACTGCGCCCAGGCATGTATTACCTTTTATTTATTTTTTTGAGTACTGCCTTACTGTGTAGTACTAGAATAGATTCCCGCCTCATCTGGTCTTTTTTCTGCACTCATGGTAGAATCAGTCATGTCTCCAGGAAGCTCTACATCTTTTTAATATTGGGGAATGTTGTATAATTTTCACATTTTTTGAATTTCCCAAGTTTCCTTTTCCATCTGTTATATAATTTCATACCATTATGGTTGAAGGACATGCTTTACATGATTTTAATCCTTTACATTTGTTGAGACTTCTCTTATGGGCTAGCAAATGGTCTGCTCTGGAGAATGTTTCATGTGCTCTTGAGAAGAAGGTGTTGTGTGCTTTTGTTGCAGAGTGTTCTCTGGGTGTCTGTTGGGTCTAGTTGGTTTATAGGGTTACTCAAGTCTTCTGTTTCCTTGATGATCTTCTCTCTAGCTGTTTTATCAATTGTTGAAAGTAGGCACTGAAATCTCCAACTATAGTCGGTTCTCCATACCTGTGGGCCCTGCATCTGTGGATTCAACCAACCATGGATCAAAAATATTAAATGAAGAAAGCAAAGAAAAAGAAAAAAGAAAAGAAAAGAAACTAAAAATATTAAAAGGGAGGCTGGGCATGGTGGCTCATACCTGTAATCCCAGCACTTTAGGAGGCCAAGGCAGGAAGATCAACTGAGGTCAGGAGTTTGAGACCGGTCTGGCCAACATGATGAAACCTCATCTCTACTAAAAATACAAAAATTAGCCAGGCGTGGTGGTAGGCACCTGTATTCCCAGCTACTCGGGAGGCTGAGGCATGAGAATCCCTTGAGCCTGGGAGGTGGAGGTTGCAGTGAGCAGAGATTGTGCCTTTGCATTTCAGCCTGGGAGACGGAGTGAGACTCTGTCTCAAAAACGAAAAACAAAAACCAAAATATTAAAAGGTTTCAGGCACAGTGGCTCATACCTGTAATCTTAGCCCTTTAGGAGGCTGAGGGGTCAGATTGCTTGAGGCCCAGGAGCCTGGGCAACATAGTGAAACCCCATCTCTATTAAAAAATGAAAACAATTAAAATTAAAAATAATTTAAAGAAGGAAAGAAAGAAATTACAACAATAAAAATACAAATAAAAAAGAAATATATTGCTAGAAGTATTGACATAACATTTACATAGTATTAAGTATTAGAATCTAGAAATGATTTAAGTATATAGGAGGATGTGAATAGACTATATGCAAATACACACCACTTTATATAATGGGCTTGATTATCTTTGGATTTTGATATGCACAGGAGCTCCTGGAACCAGTGCCTTGTGGATACCAAGGGATGACAGTATTGTTGTTGAATTGCCTATTTCTACCTTTAATTCTACCATTTTTTGCATCATGTATTTTGGGGCTCTGTTGTTAGGTGTGTATATGTTTATAATTGTGGTATCTTCCTTATGGATTGTTCCATTTATTGTTATAAAATGCCATTTGTTTCTAGTAACAACTTTTGTCTTAAAATCTGTTTTGTCTGATATTAATATAGCTGCTCCAGCTCTCTTTTGGTTACTTTTTTCATGGCATATCTTTTTTTCACTCTTTTATTTTTACCTATTTGTGTCTTTGAATCTAAAGTTTGTCTCTTGTAGAGAGCATTTAGTTTTTTTTTTTGTTTGTTTGTTTTGAGATGGAGTCTTGACCTGTCACTCAGGCTGGAGTGCAGTGTTGCGATCTTGGCTCACTGCCACCTCCACCTCCTGAATTCAAGTGATTCTCCTGCCTTAGCCTCCTGAGTAACTGGGCTTATAGGCACACTACCACACTTTTGTATTTTTAGTAGAGACAGAGTCTCACCATGTTGGCCAGCTGGTCCCGAACTCCTGGCCTCAAGCAATCCACCCGCTTTGGCCTCCCAAAGTGTTGGGATTACAGGTGTGAGCAACCGCACTTGTCCTAAATCTTTATATTTCAAAGAACTAACCTGACATTTATTAATGAGTAGCCTAGTTTTGAGGTGGAAGTCATAAACAAGAGTGAAGTGGGTTCTTTTTTTCTTTCTTTCTTTTTTTTGAGACAGAGTCTCACTCTCTTGTCTAGGCTGGAGTGCAGTGGCACGATCTTGGCTCACTGCAACCTCTGCCTCCTTGGTTCAATTGATTCTCCTGCCTCAGCCTCCTGAGTAGCTGGGATTATAGGCACGTGCCACCACACCGGCTAATTTTTTTGTATTTTTGGTAGAGACGGTGTTTCACAAGTTGATCAGGCTGGTCTCAAACTCCTGACCTCAAGTGATCCACCTGCCTCGGCCTCCCAAAGTACTGGGATTACAGGCGTGAGCCACTGCACCAGGCTGTGAAGTGGGTTCTTTTGTGCTAACAGCTGCAGAATGACAAGCATCTGCAGTGACAGGAAAACTGTAAACAAACTAAGAGTATTACAGAGGGACAAATATGCCTCACTCTCCCCAGGCACATCCATGGGCAGGTTTAATGACTAAACTATTTGGACAAGGGAGCTTTATGACTTTCCTACATTTATTTACATGGTAAATGGAACCAAGATTAAAATTCAAGAGAATGGACACACACACACACACACACCATGCAGGCTGGGTGCAGTGGGGCACGCCTATAATCCCGGCACTTTGGGAGGCCTAGGTGGGAGGATTACTTAAGTCAGGAGTTCAAGACCAGCCTAGCCAACATGGCAAAAACCCATCTCTACAAAAATTACCAAAAAAATTAGCTGGGTGTGGTAGCATGTGCTTATAATACCAGCTACTCAGGAGGCTGAGGCATGAGAATCACTTGAACCCAAGAGGCGGAGGTTGCAGTGAGTGGAGATTGTGCCACTGCAATCCAGCCTGGTGACAGAGCAAGTCTCTGTCTAAAAAAAAAAAAAAAAAAAAAAAAAAAAAAAAAAAAAAAAAAAAAGGCCAGGTGCAGTGGCTCACGCCTATTACCCCAGCACTTTGGGAGGCTGAGGCAGGTAGATCACAAGGTCAGGAGTTCAAGACCAGCCTGGCCAAAATGGTGAAACCCCATCTCTACTAAAAATACAAAAATTAGCCAGGCGTGGTGGTGGGAGCCTGTAATCCCAGCTACTCGGGAAGCTGAGGCAGGGAATTGCTTGAACCCGGGAGTTGGAGGTTGCAGTGAGCCGAGATCACGCCACTGCACACTCTAGCTTCAGCAACAGAGTGAGACTTTGTCTCAAACAAAACAAAACAACAACAAAATAAAAAACACAAGTGAAAACAAGATATTTAAAATCTAGTAGATTAGCAATGGTCAGACACTCTCATATACTGCCAAATTGGTATACTTTTTCTTCAGATAAATGTAACTGTTTAAGTTAAAACATCTGTACAGTTTGACTCAGGGATTTCACTTTTAGGAATGTATATAGAAGAATCAGGAACATAGAACAAAATTTACATGCAACAGGTTTGATCACTGCATTATCTTTACAAATGAAAAATTAGAAACAACTTAAATATTCACCCAAAAGGATGTGGTTAAACAGCTTATAGCATATCCACAAACATATTGTAAATCTATTAAAATGATGCTTTTGAAGCATTTGGTGTCGTTGGAAAATACTCATGCTATACAGTGTTTTCCAATTAGCATAACTGAAATGACCCTTCAGTTATGCTATTTTATATAAGGGATTTGAGCATCTGTGGAGTGTGATATCCTTAGGGGGTCCTGGAATCTGTCCCCTGAGAATACAGAGGGCCAATTTACTGTTAAGAGGGTAAAAGTTCTGATGAAAGCTGTATATGCAGAACATTAATAATGTTATTGCTAATTTGTGCACTTACGGGTCTTTTTTATTTTCCAAGTTTTTTATAATGAGCATATTTTTTAATTAGAAAAAAATGCATTCTTTTAAAAAAGGTAATAATATTCATTGGGAGACTGTAAGCAACATACATGCCTCTTGGATGTTTCATGGACTTCATTAAAAGCAGAGCCTAAGCTAGCTCTGACAACTCTAGGAAAGAAGATGTTTATGCTGCTAAGTTCTATGTATAACATGTATAACATTGTAAGTTCTATGGATAATATGTATGACATTGACTATTCAATACAAAATGTGGAAAAAAATTAAGTTAGCCAGTATTTTAAAATGAATTTCATTTTAGAGGTTTTAAAAAGGTAGGAGATCGGCCAGGCACAGTGGCCCACACCTGTAATCCCAGCACTTTTGGAGGTCGAGGAGGGTGGATCACCTGAGGTCAGGAGTTCAAGACCAGCCTGGCCTACTTGGTGAAACCCTAACTCTACCTAAAATACAGAAATTAGCCAGGTGTGGTGGCAGGTGTCTGTAATCCCAGCTATTCAAGAGGCTGAGGCAGGAGAATTGCTTGAGCGGGTAGGCGGATGTTGCAGTGAGCTGAGATCACTCCAGCCTGGGTTAAAGAGCAAGACTCAGTCTCATAAAAAGAAAAAAAAAGATAGGGGATTATATATCTTTAAATGTCGTACATTTGAATAGTTGCTTGACTTTGTATCTGGGAACTGTTATTGCATCTGTACACCAAGTAAAACATTAACTTTTTGATTTTTTTTTTCCAAGAAGAAGACATAAAGCAATTTTGAGAGCTTGCAAAAACAGCTTGCAAGGACAATGAAGCTTCCGATTTTCATAGCAGATGCATTCACAACAAGAGCATTTCGTGGGAATCCCGCTGCTGTGTGCCTCCTAGAAAATGTAAGTACTTGGATTTGAATTACACTATGAGAAATTCTAGATTTCTGTAGAAACAATTAATTATTTTAAAAGACTAGTTTTCACCTATTGGTTTACCTCTTTGGTTTGTGTTCTTTGCCATCATATCAGTAATGTTCATGTAAGCAAGGTGGTTTTGACCAAAGTATTTGATAAAAATGCGTATGCCTTGGGTACGACTAATGAAATGAAGATTCAGATAAAGAGGAACTAGAGCCAATTTTTAAAAAGAAGAGCTAGAGCTCCCTTTTAGCCATCAGGTTTTCATTTAGTTAGCACCATGTGTTGAGGAGAATGAAATTAGATGAGTTATGTGTGACTAGACATAGGCAGTTTCACATTTAACATAACAGATCCTAGCTGAGTATCTTGAACTTACCTATAGCTTAGGCAATTTGAAATTCTTTTTTAGGACCAAGAAAATGAGATATTTTGCAAGGAATTAAGTAGTTAAGTAGAGAGGTAGAAGGAATTAAGCTATAATATATAAATAACTTACTGACTCGTTTTAAAAATGTCTTTTTGATTAGGATAAATATTAATGGAATAGTTAAATATTCCTTGACCTTGAGGGTTAATAGTTAAATATTCCTTGAGCTCAAGGAAGAGGCAGGAGGTCAAGGAATATTGAAAAGAAAATTCCTTGAGGTCAAGGAATATTGACCTTGTTTTTGTCCCTAAGTAGTAAGAAACAAGGTAAGGTGTCCTTTCACTCAGAGCAGTTAGCACAAGAGTAGATTATCTGAGAATTACTTCAAGAAGACAGCAATTGATCTTAAGTAAGTCATATTAAGTTGGGAAAAGTGTGTTGGGGCCTTCGAGGACAGTGAATCTTAACCTGGCTACACATAAAAATCCCCTAAGGAACTTTAAAAATGCTGCCTTCCAGACCAATTACAACAGATTCTCTGGGAGTGGAACCCAGGTGGCAGTGGTGTATGTGTGTGTGTGTGTGTGTGTGTGTGTGTGTGTGTGTGTGTGTGTGATGGAGTTTTGCTCTTGTTGCCCAGGCTGCAGTGCAATGGCGCAGTCTGGGCTCCTGCAACCTCTGCCTCCTGGGCTCAAGTGATTCTCCTGCCTCAGCCTCCTGAGTAGCTGAGATTACAGTTCCCTGACACCATGCACAGCTAATTTTTTTTTTTCGAGTTGGAGTTTTGCTCTTGTTGCCCAGGCTGGAGTGCAATGGCGTGATCTCGGCTCACCGCAAACTCCGCCTTCCAGGTTCAAGTGGTTTTCCTGCCTCAGCCTTCTGAGTAGCTGGGATTACAGGCATGCGCCACGATGCCGGGTTAATTTTGTATTTTAGTAGAGATGGGGTTTCCTCCATGTTATTCAGGCTGATCTGGAACTCCTAACCTCAGGTGATCCTCCTGCTTCGGCCTGCCAAAGTGTTAGGATTACAGGCAATAGCCACCGCGCCCGGCCATAACAAGGCTAATTTTTTTTTTTGTATATATATCTCTCTATATATGTATTTTTTTCTGAGACAGAATCTCGCCCTGTCCCCCAGGCTGGAGTGCAGTGACGTAATCTTGGCTCACTGCAACCTCTGCCTGCCAGGTTCAAGCGATTCTCCGGCCTCAGCCTCCTGAATAGCTGTGATTACAGGCACACACCATCACACCTACCTAATTTTTGTATTTTTAGTAGAGACAGGGTTTCACCATATTGACCAGAATGGTCTCAAACTCCTGACCTTGTGATCCACCTGCCTTGGCCTCCTAAAGTACTGGGATTACAGGTGTGAGCCATCGCACCCAGCCACTTTTTTTTTTTTTTTTTAAATAGAGATAGGGTCTCACTATGTTGGCCAGGCTGGTCTTGAATTCCTGACCTCAGGTGATCTACCTGCCTCGGCCTCCCAAAGTGTTGGATTACAGGCATGAGCCACTGTGCCCAGCCTACAGTGTTTTTTAAAGTTCCCCAAGTGATTCCAGTGGGTGGGAGAACTGGGCTGGGTGCACTGGCTCATGCCTATAATCCTAGTACTCTGGGAGGCTGAGGCAGGAGGATTGCTTGGGGCCAGGAGTTTGAGACCAACCTGGCCAACACAGCGAAACCCTGTCTCTAAAAAAGGAGGACTGCTAAGGTGAACCTAGGTTTTTGGTTGTTTTTTTTTTTTTCAATTTTTAAATTTTTTTAATAAAATAGAGATGGGGTCTTACTATATTGACCAGGCTGGTCTCAAACTCCTGGATTCAAGTGATGTTTCCATCTTGGCCTTCCAAAGTGCTGGGATTATAGGCATAAGCCACCACACTTGGTGGAATATTATTAGAGTCCCATTTCCACAGTTCTTTTCTCCCTCAAGTGGAGTAGTAAGATGGCCATCAAGAGTCCTTGTCTTATCTTAACTCTACATTCATTATGCAAACTTGTGTTGGCATTTTCTCTCCACAAAATGCCAAAGGTAATAAAGTTAATAAACTTTGTCCATTATGACAAGAGCTTGGGAAGATTAGTATGAAAATAATTAACCAGATTCCAAATCATGACTTTTCTTTAGAAACAATCTGGCAAATACAACTTCCTGTCAAGGAATTATGGGATTGACTATAACTGCTTGTCAAAAGTCTTAATACATTTGCCTCATGGCCCCATGTAATATCCTTGAAGAGTTTTGACAGTAGTTTATATTGAATAGAATTGTATTCCTTTTTTTTTTGAGATGGAGTTTCACTCTTGTTTCCCAGGCTGGAGTGCAATGGCGTGATCTTGGCTCACCGCAACCTCTGCCTCCTGGGTTCAGGCAATTCTCCTACCTCAGCTCCTGAGTAGCTGGGATTATAGGCATGCACCACCATGCCCAGCTAATTTTTTGTTTTTAGTAGAGACGGGGTTTCACCATGTTGACCAGGATGGTCTCGATCTCTTGACCTCGTGATCCACCCGCCTCGGCCTCCCAAAGTGCTGGGATTACAGGTTTGAGCCACCACACCTGGCCCAATTGTATTCCATTTTTATCAGATAACAAACATTGGCATTATTCTCCAACTTACTCCATTGATTTCCAGTAAATTAACTAAACATCAAACTTACAGGATTGCTATCTCTTTCTTTTTTCTCTCTCTTTCTATCTATCTCTTCATTAAAACATATTTTGTATGCTAATTATATGTTTGGAAAAACTAGGAAATAAAAATTTAAGTAAAGAACTTATAGTTTAAAACAACATGCTTCAGTATGAGTGGAAGAAGGGAAAAGACGATCAGGAAGTCCACGATTTGGGGAAGCTCTCTAAAGAATTTTCCAATTCGGCCAGCTGCGGTGGCTCATGCCTGTAATCCCAGCACTTTGGGAGGCTGAGGCGGGCAGATCACGAGGTCAGGAGTTTGAGACCAGCCTGGCCAACATGGTGAAACCCCCATCTCTACTAAAATTACAAAAATTAGCTGGGCGTGGTGGCACGTGCCTGTAATCCCAGCTACTTGGGAGGCTGAGGCAGGAGAATCACTTGAACCTGAGAGGTGGAGGTTGCAGTGAGCCGAGATTGCACCACTGCACTCCAGCCTGGGAGACAGAGCAAGACTTCGTTTAAAAAAAAGGTTTTCCAATTCACTTCTTTTGAGACTTGGGCCTATGAGACCAGGATAATTTCATGGCCTTTCAGGGACACCTGAATAGGTATCTAAAGATTAGTTTGTTAAGCCTCTTAGATACACTTTTCAGTTCTTTGGATGTGAGAATCTTGTCCTCCTGGAGAGAAAGGTAGCACTTTTCCTAATTCCTAATCAATAACAATTATAATAGAAGTATAAATGGTGGTGTCTGCCTTTGGGTTTGTTGTGTCCCGAGATGGTGGAGAGAATACAAGTGGCCATGGGAAAATGTCAGAGACAAATAAACACTAAACCTTATCATATTGGCCACAATTTGGTAGGAATTCAGCCAGGCTCTTGGCTGAGTCAGAGGCACAAAGGTTAACAAGTTCACCTGCCCTTCAGGTACTCAGAGTCTAGTGGGGAAAATGGACCTGTAAACTGACCATTATTCAGTAGTCACCACAGAGGCTAAAAAACCTGAAGGTTTTAGGTACGACGGGGACTCAGAGGATGAAATAATGTTAGATTTTATAAGGTAAAAATACTTCAGATTTTAAATGCAGGGCTTCAGAGGAATGTTTTGTAGATTTTGTTTTAAATTATTTAAAATTTGACCGAGATGTGACTAACCATAGGAGAACTTTGTGGACAGACTAAAGACTAGGTCATGGTGCTTTGAGCTTTTCGAACACTTGATAAAAGATGACTGAAAGTAAAGTAAAAACTTCTGAGGAATAAAGTTCAAGAGCTTCTATAATATATAATATTTTTAAATTAATTTATTTATTAATGCATTTTAGGTTTTGGGGTACATGTGAAGAATATGCAAGATTGTTGCATAGGTACACACGTGGCAGTGTGATTTGCTGCCTTCCTCCCCATCACCTATAGCTGGCATTTCTCCCCATGCTATCTCTCCCCAACTCCCCACCCCCTGCTGTCCCTCCCCCAATTCCCCCCAACAGACCCCAGTGTGTAGTGCTCCACTCCCTGGGTCCGTGTGTTCTCATTGTTCAACACCCGCCTATGAGTGAGAACATGCAGTGTTTGATTTTCTGCTCTTGTGTCAGTTTGCTGAGAATGATGGTTTCATCCATGTTCCTACAAAGGACACGAACTCATCGTTTTTGATGGCTGCATAATATTCCATGGTGTATATGTGCCACATTTTCCCTGTCCAGTCTATCATTGATGGGCATTTGGGTTGGTTCCAGGTCTTTGCTATTGTAAACTGTGCTGCAATGAACATTTGTATGCATGTGTCCTTATAGTAGAACAATTTATAATCCTTTGGATATATACCCAGTGATGGGATTGCTGGGTCAAATGGAATTTCTATTTCTAGATCTTTGAGGAATCGCCACACTGTCTTCCACAATGGTTGAACTCATTTACACTCCCACCAACAGTATAAAAGTGTTCCTATTTCTCCACATCCTC